GCCGATCACAACCCGTTCAGCCTGGCAGTTCAGCCAATTTTCCATCCACCTTATCATTTGCTTATCCTGTCCATATCTCACCATTTTAGTTGTTAGGAAAATATCAAAGACCTTGGGAAAAGCTTTGCTAAAGTGAAGATAAACAATATTCACTACTCTTCCCTTGTCCACAGAGCCAGTCACCTTACCGTGGAAGCCAATAAGTGTGATCAGGGACAGTTTCCTTTTTCATAAATTTATGCTGCCTGCATCTGATCACCTTCTTGCTCTTCATGAGCTCAGAAGTGGTTTCCAGGAGGAAATCTTCCAGGAAACTGAGGTTAGACTGCTTGGCCTGTAGTTCCCTGGACTGTCTCTCTCAACCATCTTGAAGATGAGTGTGACATTTGCCTTTTTCTTCTATCCATCAGAGACCATCTCTATCACCAAAATATGTCAAAGTCGATGGTCAGCAGACTCGCAGTGGCATGGCTAGCTGCCTTAGCACCCCTGGATGCATCCCATCTGTTCCCATGGACTTGTGTATGTCCAGTTGGCTTAAGTGCTCATTCATTCTCTGCTGTGGCTACAGATTCACTCCCCAAAATTTTGCTATTAGCCTCAGGTTTGAAGTTAAGTCTTACCAGTGAAACAAAACAAAACAAAATTAAACAAAAGGCAGAAAAGGCACTGAATTCATCATCCATCTCTATGCCTTTTGTCTCTGTGTTCCCTGACACATATAATACTTGGCCCATGTTTTCCTTAGGCTTCCTTTTAGCTGCCAACATACTTACTGAAGCCCTTTTTGTTGCCCATCACATCCTGTGCTATTGCAACACCAGCTGAGCTTTGGCTAATTCCCTAATTCCCTCCCTGCAGACTTGGGCAATGTCTATATATTCCATCCAGGAATCCTGGTACTGTTTCTACCTTTTGGATGCTTCTCCTTTGTGTTTGAGGTCAGCCAAGAACATCCTCTTCATCCATCCATACAGCTCTAGTACCACATTTCTTTAACTTTCTGTGATTTGGCATGGTTCACTTCTGTGTTCTGAGGAGGCTGTTCTTGAAGATCAATTACTTGTATCAGGACTCCTTGACCTCCAGGGCAGTTTCCCATGGGATCCTGACAAGCAGATCCCTGAACAAGCTGAAAGTTCTTCTCCAGATTTCCAGGCTTTGAACTTTACCATTTCCTTTCCTCGCTTCTCTCATAATTTTAATCTATACTATCTCATGGCCATCACATCTAAAGCTGCCCTCAACCTTCACAACCCCAGGCAGTTTGTTCACAAGTAATAGGTCCATCAGACTACTGCCCCTATTTCCCCCCCCCCCCTCCCCCCACTTAATCCATACTTCAAGTGCAGATAAGTGTCTGGAATCCAGTGTTCCCTAGAATGAGTTGCATTTCTACTGTCTTCACACCAGAAGCCTCACTTGGCCTTCAAGATCTGAATATCCCAATCACTTACCACAGGCAATTTCGGGAAGAAGACTCCTTTAACACAGATGTAGCACTGAGAAATACTGTGACCCTGATGCAAAGGGCTTGTAACCTATTCTGAGGAGAAATGGGATATGAGTGTGAGAAGGCTAGAAACATGTGGTGCCAAGGCCTGTTGTGTTCATCATCTCTGATAAGGTTAGGAGTGGAGATGGAGACTAAGGAGACCTTCTCAGGTTGTTGGTGCTAGGTTTGGAGATGAGCAGAGAAGTCCTATCCATGTTAAGTCCTATCTTAACACAATTCCTCCAGGCCTCCTCAGTGTCAAGGATGAGAAAGCCAATGTGTTTGCAGTCACTTCATGTAGGCTTTTATCAGGTGAAACAGTTCTGGAGATGGCATCCTGTTGCTGTATTTCACTTGCCAATGATCTTCCTCGGTAATCTCATGTGCTTAAGAAGTCTTGACATAGTGAGGGTTAGAACAGCTTCCTCAAAGTAGAACTTTTTAGGAGAACTTTTTAGGCCTCTAATTGATCCAGTGATTAAGGCTTTTGCCAGTGCACAGCTCCTGCCTATTCATTGTAGCCACAGACTTCTGAATTTAATGTCTTTGCCATCTTCTGAGTTTGTAATTCTGCTGTTCAACCTGCTGATCTTTCCTTGTTGTAAAATCATGACTGAACATATATCAGAAATACACCACCTTCTAAGGCAGTTAAGGCTCCTTGTTCACACAGGAGGGGACAGGGGCCAGACCTTGTAGGTCATGCTGAGCAAAAAGTAGTCTTTGGAGAAGACTTGTAGAGGCACGTGCACATCTTGAGTGTCTAATAAACAGAAAGCAACTTACTACTTGTCTGAAATTTACTGTAGCAGGTCTCTCCATCTCAGCAGTGTCACTGACAGCAACTGGTCTGGAGTGCTCCCTGTCTCATAGCTTACACAAATGGGGAAAAATTCTCTGATGTTGAGTAGCAGGGCCTGTGTATACCCTGCAAGGTGAATACAGATGTAGTCTCTCACTTAAAATTGAAGCTTTTCTCTAGTGAGGACTGTAGCTTCCCAGCTAATAGATTAGAAGCAAGAGGACAACTCTTCCTTCTGAGGAGGATTCCATGTCATATTTTAAATGAAAGGACATAAACACCAATCAGGATAGCACCATAGGCTATAAATCCCATGTAAAATAGTTTCCTGCTGACAGCAGTACCAAGTGCCCCAGCTTTAAAAAGCTCCACGGTCCTCTTCTCTGCAAGATGTTTTCACTAGGCTAAGCTGTCCCACTCACTCTTGGCTCTTGCTGTTCCTATTCCAGGGCAATTATCCTGTCTCTCTAACAACGTAGGCTTGACATCTAAGTTGAAACTGCAGATTCTCCCGCTGACTGATTGACTACTAGAAAGCTCTTTCAAGCATTACAGCCAAGCTTCAGGAATATTTGGGGCAGGATAGTACATTTAAAGTTCTTCACCTACAAGTTGGATACTATGCAGCCCCGATGTTCATTTTTTCATCAGGGCTCAGATTTTCCTTTTCCTTCAGGTGAGAAATCCCATTTCTTTGGAAGCTGGGTTACTTTTCAAGTGTAGAATGCTCCCTTTGTTCTCTTCATCTACAAATACCATACTGTGAGTGTTAAAGGATACCAAATCTGGGCTTTGTAGCAAGAAGTGGGAATATAGTCTGTATGGCCTTTTGCCACTGAAAAACACATCCAGGTTCATGGGAAGAGCCATTTAAAATTTTTGATTTTTCTCTCAAACCTTGTTAACCACTTTAAATCCAGGTGCTATTATTTCCTTAAAACTTCACTTGATGGCTAAACTCATCTGTAAATAAATAAAAAATAAATCTTACTGTGTTAGCATTTAGATTCTCCAATCAGTACATCGTATTTTAATCTGAATTGTACGTCCAGCAGATAACAAATATAGTCAGTCTCTACCAGGAACAGTTTGAATTCTTAAGCCATGTTATCTGTGTGCAGAACATCAGTTATCCGTGTGCAGAACTTTCCACATGAATAATCCCATAATGTTAACAAAAGTTTCATAACTATAAAGCTAAGATAAATTTTTAGATAATGGATAAATAGATAAATAGATAAAATTCACTAAAATAGGGAAATAAAATATGTGTGAAAACAGAGCTTGGTATCAGTTAAATAATTATGTTTAACATAACAGTGACTCCATATCTACCAATAAGTTCTTTCTGATTTTTTTTTTCTAGCATTATATTGGCAACACTTTAAAAAATAGTTGGAGGTAAGCAAAATGAAGGGATTTTTACCATTTCAAGTGAAATCTTTAAAAGATGCCAGTTTTGTGGGGGGCATCAATGACTACATTTAGGAGAAAAAACATGCTGCTGCCCTCCCAGTTCAGCCACAGCAGTTCTGGCTCTGATTTTACATGAAGTGCTGAACCAGGAGCTGTTTTAGAAGAAAACTGAAGTTCGGTGAAAAATAAATTCTGTTATAACACTAAGTTCTTTATCCTGTGTTTCTGCAATGTGTGAAGTACAACAGCTGGTCTGAAAGAGTATGGACTTTGTAACTAAAATCTCAATTTATTACTTTTAAGAAGGATAAAGAAGTTAGCCTGTCTCTTCATCTCCATTCCTGACTTTCCATGTCCTCGGCTGTAAATCATGTATATATTTTCTTTCTGTGATAATAAAAAAGGGTTTTACAAGAGGAACCATGGATTTAGTTGAGTACTTAGAGCCTGTCCCAAGGCCTAAACTGCATGGCAACTCTTCTCACTTCATATTGCAGAAGCATTTGACTTGTCACTCTGGAGCTTTCCAAGGCTTGCAACAATTCAAGGACCTGTACTGGAACTGTAACACATGATGAGCAGTTGGGTTGTTCTGCTGAAGTCAAGTGCCTTGTTGTTGAAGGAGAACAGTGGAGGTGGTGAGGCTGATGTTGCTGCTGGGCTCCAGCCCAAGCCTCTTCCATCATCAGGTTAGTGACTTCCACAGTGAGCTGTTAAGAGCTACCTTTCCCCTTGCTTTTCTAAAGCACAGGACATGTTTGATATGATTGACATGGGAATGTGAGGTTTCCTAATTGAAAACAAACAGTCAAAGTCAATACTTTTTTTTTTTTCCATTAATTTAGCCATGCTGTTTATGCCATAAAATTATAATTTGGGAATAATTTAAGTTTCATCCTTCAGTCTTTAAATTAAATTTAAATGCATTCTTTTCATAAATTTAATTTTTTGTTCTTCTGTACTTATGGGGAAGTCATGAATCTCAAGTCTGATGTGCTGTAGCTGCAGTGCCAAAGCATTGCAGAAAAGAGGTAGAGAAAGCAGAAGATGGAAAAAAAGCCAAATCAGCCAAGAATTGCCAGGAATTAAAATCAGTGAGTCTATGGGAGGGCAGCAGTTTAGAGACTCAAGGGGAGACAACACAGCACTTCAGCATTCGATTTTCATGTCATCTGGAAACATTAATCTTACCAAACTCACACCTATGGTATGTGCCCTTTGTCTCTCATTTGCATGAAGATGTGTGGGAAGCACAACCACTCCAGCAATAACCCATATTTGCACTGCTTCAGGCGTGGAATTTATTTCATATATGTATACAACTTAAAAATTATGAATGAAGAGCTGAAGGAGATAATCTTATTTCCAAATCTCAGTCTTTAAAAAACCCATCAAACACGGTGCTCCATGGATATTTAGGTTCCACTTCCCTCCAACTCCAAGGACTGCAGACTACAAATGTTAAATCTTTGGATGAAGTGCAGTGTTCCGTGGCACACAGGCTGAAAGTAGGCAACAGAAAGAAAATATAATAGGGTGTTTATCAACAAAATGTTTTTTTTTTTTTTTCAACTAATTTCTGTATTGTCTGTCCATCCCACAAGGACATGCTGCATGTAAAATGAAAGTTAGCTTTCTATTTCTGTTTTCTTGTAAATACCACAAGATGACAGTTGTACCCCACCTGCCCTGACAAAGAAATAAAAGCACAGTTGACTATTCTGCCAGGTGCACTCCTTTCAAAATGCCTGTGGAACCTGGGCTAAGTGAACTAGAGGAAATATTTATCAGAAGACTCACCAACACCTCTCTTTAAACAGCAACAAGGAAGTAGTAGCAGCACCTAATTGCCTTGATTTCAGGCTTCTTCAACCTCCTAATCAGTGTGAACAAGAGGGGCATGCTTTGTCCTGCTGTTCTTATCTGAGTGGGGTGGATAATGGACACTTTGAAGACGGAACAGAGGAAGAAGGAACCCTGCCTTCCCCAAGCTGCCTATTTCTACCTGCTCTTGAACTGACACTGCTCTTCACAGACTGAATCTCCTTAGGTACATTTAAAAGGTAACTTTTTTTTGTCCTGTAAATTTTCAGCTGAATTAATCTTTATCTAGGTTGCAATATGGCTGCGCAGATGCTACTGCCAAGAAAAAGGAAGAAGAGGATGAAGGTGAATGATATCCTCTTTTTCAGAAGCAGCACCAATTTAAGTTGTATTAAAATAATTGTTGAATAACTTGCTGTTAACTGACAATTAGTAGTGGTGCCACAGCTTTGTGTCTGAAGAAATGAGTTTGAATATTTAGTGTGTAACTATAAAAAGTTGCTCTGGTGCTGAATCAAGCTGTTATTGCTCTTCAGAAACTATGTACCAATTAATGAGCAGCTAACTTGACAAATCAACCACTCTATTATATTAGTGATGCCATTATGCAAATTATTTATCAGCATCAGGGATTTGACCCAAATTGCAGTTGTTCCTAAAAGTAGATTGCACCCCAAAACCCACAGTGGTCAAGAGATTTGGATACTGCATGCGCACATACTCATGACTCAAAGGTGACTCCATGAAACAACCGCCAGCTAAATTATATTATATTCCATATTTTGAGGAAATCTGAGAAGCTTTTACCTCAAAACTTGTCTAATGCAAGAGTTAGTAGTTGTCTGTTACATTTTTCTTCCACAACCTAAAGGCTGAAGGGACTCTAAGTGCATAGAATATTTTGCTCCCAATTAATTTTATGGATTGGGGTAAGCAGAGTCTTAATACATAATCTGGCACACAATTCAAGAGCTACTTCCTGTGGTAGCTAGTTTGTGGTAATGACATGTCATTTCTGCAGGTTGTGTAAATTGCTGGCTCTGTCTTTATACTTCAATAAAATCTGTTTGCATAGCTCATACTTCTCCTTTCATTGCAATTAGGCAGGCAGAAATTCAAACAACAAAACTTTATTGTTCATGTCTGTAAGATAAATAACCAGAGCAAAGGATAAGATGATTTTAAAACCATGTAACAATGTGCAAACCACTGCTAAGCTATACTGAAATTGCAGTGTACTTTAGGAAGTGACTGATGTGCACAGGAAGAACACAAGTATCAGCTGCTTGAAATTTTCCCATCTCCTCTACATACTCTCTTATTTCTTGTGCAAGTGATGCATCACAGAACGGGAAAATGCTTTGGATGGCCAAATTCAGTAACCAAAGACCATGAAAGTATATATGTGTAAGTGTGTGTAACACACATTCAGACAAAAGATTATATGTATTTTTGTAATAACTATCTTATCTTTTCTTCCATTTCCACGAAAAGAAAATGCTGAGAAATCCTTTTTTAGAGCTCAAAGTACATATGAAGTATTTTAAAATAGCAAAACCCTTATCAAAAATTAATTGGCAACACTGCTGCAGAATATAAACTCAAGTGGTGAGTTTCTTTGTAAGTTTCTATACTATTTTTGAGCAGTGAATTGGCAGCAGCTTTGTCCAATTAACTTTGACATGAACAAAGCATGATAAAGGGAACTATTTAGCAGTAGTTAAGTCCTGATACTTTTATCATCCATAAAACATTGCACACAATACCAGGACTTCAGTTCTGAGAGATGATCCAACATTTTCTGAGCACTGCTGCACTCCAGTGCCAGAGCCCAGTTCTGACAGACTTAAGTGTAGACACAAACCTCTTCAGTGAGTTTGAGCTCAGGTCCTGGAAAAAGCTACAGTAGCTGCTCCTGTTCTCTTACTGATACGTGGAGGGCAGCAGCCCAAAGAATGGCACACTCAGTAAGGCTGGCACAGTGCTGCATTTGATAGTTTACACTCAAAATGTGCCACCCCAGATAGCTAGCCGGCAGTACTCTTTTCTGCCACACCCAGGCACGTGCACCTGCCCACTTACTACCACCTTTTAAACTGTTAAACTTCTAATAGCTGCATTTGCAACTATAAAGCAGTGGTTTTTTGAATTTGTATCATTTATTGCTACCCTTATTTAAGATAAGCATGTTTTACTAAGTAATAACAAATTAACCCAAAATATATTTTGTGATTGGTGGCTTTGCTTTTCCTGGTTTTAAAAAATCGTCCTAACTTCCAGTGGGCAGTGCTCTGCTGTTACACATGATGAAAGGGCAACTTTGAAAAACTTCTTCATCAGACAGGACAGCCCATTTTCAAGACACTTGAACAGAAATGGAGACATTCTAACCTGGAGAGCTATGGTCTTCCAGACAGCTTTTTAGAAGGCCACAATGATTGCACAGCATATCATTTGTAGTGGGGTTTTGCCATCTACCAGGGCAGGGGAAGATCTGTTGCAAACATCACATCCCCGCACTTTCCATGAAAACATGTTAAAGAATACTGAAGGTGCTGAAATGGATTTGTTTGAATACTGTCTGTTTCTCTTCAGCTGGCAATGAACCACTTGCAGGGATGCAGAAGAAGTCAGCTTCTTCTATACTGAGAAACGGCTTCTATACCAAGGAACTGTAACTTGCCACTGAAATGAGTAGAAACAAAGAACAACAAAACAAACTAACAAACTAACAAAAACAACCAAACAAAAAACCACAACCAACCAAACAAACAAACAAAAAAGCACACCAAAAAAGTCTTCTGTATCTTCCCTGGGACCACAACCGCATCACAAAGCAGACTTTTGATTCAGGATAATTTATGAATACCTTGTGGAATATTAACAAAGACTTTTTACTAGAATAATGTTATTAACTTTAAGCCATAAAAATCTCAAATCTTCAGGAACTGTGCTTATAAACATAAACCATATAAACAGAACTAGAAAGCCTTCCCTCTCCCTCAACCATGGTGTTTTGTGTTTGTTGTTTTTTTTTTCTCCTTTCCTCATGTGAGAGGCATGTGAGCATGGAGCAGCCCTCTGTGTTCTAATTATATTGCTGCAAGACACATCCCAGACATTTTGCTAGGATGGGATGGGGACAGGACAAGGACTGCTTCAATAAAGCAAACTGCTGCATAAAGCTCTTCGATCACTTTCACACCAAAGTGAAATCAGTAGCACCACAATGAGGACAAAATGCTCTTAATATTATTGTCCCTAGCCATCCACCAGGCAATTTTTTTAATAATTAAAGAAAAAATAAATACAAATAATAATAATAAAAAAGGTATCAGATAGTACTTACTAGGCTAAGCTTTTGTTAGCAATGAAACCACCAGACTATAACAAACTAGGGTAGTCCCTTGAGAATATTCCCAGGACATCCAGTTAGTTGATCAAACTGTTCCAGACAGTCTGGACTGAGATGCTGTAACCACAGTGACAGGTAGCACAGAATGTGGTGATCACAGCTCTGCATAACAAAGAGACACAGTTCAGATACTACCGAAGGTCCAGTGAATATACCCAGTGCTACACAACTGCTTCCGTTACTCATAGTCCTAAGCCCGTTTGAGGAAGTCACCACCAAAATCACCCTTGTGAGGAACATTTTTACTCCTGGGATTACACATCAGGACTTGCTTCCCTCCTTTCATATACTGACACTGTACTTGGCAGTGTTATTGAGTAATTAGCATAATCTTGGAATGATCCGAGGACATCACAGGATAGATGTCTCCTTCTGTTTGAGCCCAGTGTACAGATATTTTGCAATCACTCTGCATATTGTATATATGGATTATAAATGCAAACGGTGCCAAATGGCTACTAGGGTATGTTTGCAGGATTAAACGTCAATAGGGCTTCAGCTTCCAAGACACCTTTTTAGGAAGAACTGTAGAAACAGCTTTTCTGAACTTAAAACTACTTGAGATGAAGTTTTCCAGGTCAGGTGTCTGCCTCAAGCTGGTGTGTTCAAATGGGACTTTCAACAAGAAGGAGCCAGGTAAGTATAAGAATGAAACTGGGGAAAAAAAACAAAAAACTTCCCATTTCTACTCAAGTACAGAAAAAGCCCTCGTAATGTACTTGAAAAGGGCTATGATTTCTTTACTTTGAAGAAAGAATTTGAAATTTTGTGGAGGAATAGACTTTGAATCAGGGATATGCCTTTTGGGTAGTCTTCCGATTGAATATTATGATAAAGCAAAAAGCTTTTGAATCTCAAGCTGCACATGCACAGGAAAAAAGAAAGAAAAAAAAAAAAAAAAAAGGCCAGAAGCTAGCAGAAGCTAGGCTTGCTGAAACTCCTGTGGAATCTGCAGTGCTGCAGACTGGACCTTGCAAAGTTACTCCCACCTGAGGCAGCAGTGGGGAGTGCAATGAAGGCTGGGGCTCCACCGTGCTCGGTGCTCCCTCTTCTGGCACCCAGGCCAGGAAGGATGGGCACCCACCCATGGCACAGAGTAGGAAACAGGCCTTGGGGGGGAGGGGAGAGCTCGGTGATGTTGGGAGGATAAAGCAAATTGCTCCTGGTGGTCATACCCAAATTCTATTTCTGTCTTTATCGGGGATTTACACTGAGCACTGAGTGTCTTGTGTTGAGAAGGTGGCCTCTCATGAAGCGTTCCTCATTTTTTCAGTTCCAAATTTGAGCTTCTGGAAACTAAGCTCTGAAATACCCGGCAGCATCTACAATACCTGCATGGCTTTCTTTACTGCAGCTTCTGAGCACCACAACAGTCTTCCACTAGAAAAGAAAAGACCTCATAATGCAGACAGAATGCACAAACAAACTCACAGTGTAGCCTACAGATGAATTAAAGCTGGCTTAGAAGTTATGGCTAGCACTTCTACTGCTGAACTGTCTTCACTTGTAAATAAACCTGTAAATTATATCCTTAAAACCGTACTTTGATTAAATAAAGAACAGCCCAAATTAGCAGCCATTCTTGTACTGAATTCCTCTGCATCTTAACTTTCTCAGCGTTACAGTAAGGGTGATGCTACTACCTCCAAAGTTTGGTAACTCAGTATACATGAAGCATTCAGTCTCCTAACGATTACTCCAGAAAAGCCTGTAAGGAAAAGCAAAAAATCTCTACTCAGATAAACATTTAAACGCAGTGCAGATACAGAGCTGTACCTCCCTTTTTAAAATTCATCTCAAACAGAAGGACCCTACATTAAGTAGTATGATCATACCATTACAGGCTATCATAATACACACAAATGATATCACACGTGAAAAACTCTTAAGCAATGAGCACTGCATTTTTTCACCCTTTTTATAAGTTTATATGTTAATGTTTGTGTGTAATTATGCATAATCTTAATGTTCATTTGCAAATAGAAACTATCAGATATTCATTTATAGTCAAGAACTCTTTGGCATGTGAAAAAAAAAAAAGAAAAAAAAAATCAAGCATCTCTATGTTTTCTTCTAGAAATAAAGAAATTGATCTGATATGAATTTGCCTCCAGGCAGTTACCCAAACTTCAAAAATTATCACAAAAACATCTTTGAAAGCTTTGTTAGCATATTTTGGCAAAAGGACAGGCTTCCTTAGGACAATACTTAAACGACGTTGGGAAACTTGCAACTATGAAATATGTACTATAATTTTTGTGTAGTACTGCAAACGTGGCATAGACACCCAGATTAAGGACACAGCTCCATTTTCCTAAGTGCTAAGCACAATTCAAAGGGAACTCAGTGGAGGCTCTAATAACTTGGAAGCCTCTGTAGGAAAAACTAGGACCCACATTATTTAATTTTCCTAATGCAAAGTGATAAATGAGCCCAGATTTATTAAAATGTAGGTAGCAGATCAATAGCAGAACTATCCTAAGGGTTTCACTTACAGACAGACTTGCTACACTGTTATCATCTTTTAAATTTAGCTAAACTTGTAGCATTACAAGATAAATAGATCTACTTTGACTTTGTAAACTAACACTAGAGTAACTTGATGATGGATGAAGCGACACTGGAAGAAGTTTCATTCTGAGAAGCCACACTGTAAACTGAGGGGTACCAAAAACTTACCCAGCACTGCTGTTTACACTGTTAGGGAACACACCACAAACAGTCCCTGGTGCAGCACATGGCTTACGTCACTGGACCTTTGTGTTCTAGAAACTGAAATCAAATACTTAAAACTATAAAGAAAGCCTTCAGATTACAAATCAAGTGTAAGCATGTGCAGTACTACGTATCCCTGAATCAACCAAAGTACAGAAACAAACGCTGCAATAACTACATCTAAGGAAATGTATCTGAAGTAGAAGTCGCCTGTCACAATGTTGAGAGAATGCCAGAGTGGTGTTTGCCCCCCCCTAAAACTATCATTTTTTTCCTCACTCCCTTACTTGAGCACACAGTTTCTATGTACCCTTTTTCCTTCTTCAGCAGGACTGACAAATTTCTTCCAGCTCCTGTATTGTTCTGTGACACATGCAAGGGAGTCTCAGAGAGGAAAGAGACCCTTCCTCAGTGCGCAGTTTCTCAACCCTGCCGACAAGCTAGATAAGGGCAAGACTAAGCAGATTAGCTCGTGTAACATATTTTGACACTGTTGCTACCCCTAATACCTGAAAACTACACTTTGCCTCTTGGTAAGGGTTAGAAAGTTTTGGGGAGTGTGCTCACTTATCCCTGAGTAGAACGTTAAGGACATCTCAGCTCAGAACCTGACTCTCCCAGCTCTGCACATTAATTGCTCTTGGTATCTCTGGAAACCACAACATTACAAATCGGTGGAACATATAGGATGATAGATATACACTCTACAACTTTTACTTTTTGCTAACTGTCTTTGGTTATCCTTCATTTGCAACAAGATTCTAGGTGAGACAGATCTTATGTTAGGGTTCAAATTTCAGAAATAGTAGCAGCTCAGCATAATTACCATTTTTTGTAATATGTGGAGAAGAACAGTCATAGATTCCCCTAAGAGCTTTGAATACTATCATATTACTGCAAGTGACAGGAACCGATACTTGACTACATTTGATAGCTCATTATATGTAAACAACCTCAAAAACTGTTTCTCACTAGCTTTTTTTTTTTCTTTTTTTCTTTTTCCAGTTATGTTAGACACTACTGTAGTTAAATGGCTTTAGTCCAATGTTTTAAGTGCAATTTTCAAGTCAGGTGTTCCATCAGCATTTGACCAATGCATTGTTTGAGATTTTTTTTTTTTTTAAAGCTGAACGTAGCAATACTTCCTTGTGTCTGAGCAACACAACAGTCAATGCGATGCTGCTCACCTGTCAGTAGTCTGTAAAAGCAAGTCTATAACAAGTAGATCACCAACAGACAGACTGAGAACCATAGCTAAACAGCACATTTTCTCCTTCAGAAGTGCATCTGTGGGTATTCATTTTTTTTTCATGTCTTTTAAGTATTTGTCAATTCCAATAGGTTATTTATTTAAAGCGTTGTTTAATTGGTATTTCTTTCACTGACTACTCAAGTTCTCAGTAAGGTTCTGCAGCATGTATTATAATGACATGCACACATTGTCACATGTATTGTCTGTTCACATACTTAAAGTTGCTCAAACTACTTCTCTTTTCATTTATGTCTATATAAAAGTTAACTAAGGCAACTGCTTACTTGGAGAAATTTCCCCATATTTTTAGCTACCATTTACTGCCATTTGAATTGGTCAAAATACAAAGATGAGATGGTGCTGTGTGACGAGCAAATATTGCTGGGAGATCTGCAATACTGAGAACTCTCACGCTAGTAGCATTTCATCACTTAGACTTTAAAAAACATTATGAAGTTATTAGGCTTGCTTTTGCTTTACGTTAACTAGACCTCCCCCACCAATGTGTGATACCATCATTCTTGCTCTACAAAAGCCCTTAAAGTTTGAGCCAAATTTAACCTGATAGTTTCCGTATTTCAGAGCACAGTTCCTTTTTAACATTCAAAAGAACTCTCTCAGTTTTGCATCTCAATCAAACTTTCACACATGCAACCAGAAACATGAATCACACTAGTGCTATTTCAGGAAACAAGCACAGCTATGGTGGCAGGGGAAGTGTGCCATCCACCAGATCACACAAACATACAGGTAATCACAAGGTAACTGCTGGAAATAGGTCATTTACTAAGTGCAAATACCTTTTTTGTTGTTGTCGTTTTTAAAAAGCATGCAAAAATTTGCCTGTCAGGACATTCGTGACTTCTGCATTGCAGACCAATGTTTCTCAGAACCTCCGAATATTTTCCACCACTCAGGCCCTAATCTGCATTATAGGTATGATAACTTGAGAAATGCAGCACATATTTTTGGCCTGATAAGTGTAAGAAAAGGGTATGAATTAGCTAAACTTTCTACACTTACTGTTGAAGTATTGCCAAGCCCAAGTGTTCAGAACACATAAGTCAGGGCCTACAAAAGAATTATGATTTCAAAAGCACTGCAGTTTTGAAAGCAAGTGGGAGTGCGTTCACGTATTTATTTTTACTTCTCCTTCAGTTGCATTTAGGGTTTTCCTGCTTCATGTTTCATACTACATTGCACAACTGAAGAACTCTCAACTATGAAGTGTCTTTAATTTGGGCCTTAGATGAGCATAAAATTCACTGATTCCAACAGCAGGATCTTTGTGAAGTACAGTAGATACTGGGAAATTACAATAGATACATATAATATTTAAGGAAGTATTTAATCAATTTACTTGATTATTTACAACAGTAAATATGAAGTCCATTTTTCCAGCTGTTTTATTTCCTGAGTAGTAGTAACTGAAAAATAAGATGAGGAAGGCACATAACACATTCATAGACTTATGAGGGAAGTATCATTCAAAGAATGAACTTAAAAAGTTGTTTTTTTTTTTTTTCCAATGTAAAATCATTATTTATTATTATTTTTTTAAGATTATCTAAAACAAACCTGCAAGAGTAGCTAAATTCCACTAACTGCAGTGGAAATTTTGTACAAGTGTGCAGAAGTATCCTGTAATATTGTACATTCGCTTTCCTGTCTTTGCTGTAACATTTAGCATTAATTTCATGCATTAAAGATCTTTAATTTATGACTTAATACAGTACCATTACTGTACTAGCCACTTATGATCTATACAAAGTAGGAGCATCTTTATACCAGCTTGCATACCCAAATGAAATAAATAATTTTAGAATATTATTTGGTAAGAAGAGGTGGGACTAATACCTGTCTGAATAAATGCCCCTTGTTAAAAGATGCATTTGTCACAGCAAGCTGAGCAAACAGTGACATCTAACATACATGGTTAAATTCAGCCCTTTTACATTTGTTATTAAAACTGGTTGAGATGAATGTCACTAAAATTTACCACTGTTTTTCTGACCCTTTCTCCTCTACCAGGTGTTCATCCAGTAATTCTTGTGTTTATTTTCAGACTGCACCTTCATTATACATGACTGTCTGCAGTCTTGAGGGGATTTACTCTCTCCTCTCGTCCATTTAATAGGATGCATTTTCCAAAAAAACATATATATATATACACACATGCACCAGTGCATGCACACAAACAAAATACACTAACTTCTGTTTCTAAGGATTTACAGTTTACTATTTAATGTAAGTAGCATTCAGCTAGTGATACTAGTTACTCTAATCAAAATGTAATGTTGCCACAATTCAACAGCAGCACAACAGAAATGAAAATGGAAATGAGCAAGAATATTTCACCCACCAGAAAGCAAATGCAGTTAGTGGGCAACTGACAAGAACAATTGTGGCCTGCTCTGGATAGTAACAGTTGGGCAGACAGGTAATAAGCACAGAATTTAATATTAAAGATTTGGGGAAAGAAAAAAAAAAAAAAAAAAAAGCTTGAAACTGCAACATGGGATACAGCTACTAGAATACAACAATTGTTGACACAGTTGTACTTAAAAAAAAAAAAACAAAACAAAAAGACACCTCCTCCCCCCACCCCTCCCCAAAAAAAAGACACCACCACTACTGAACAGTGACAATTCAATTACCGGATCTGTACTGTCTGCAACTACGCTGATTCCACATGTAATATTTACACACCAAAATCCATTGTATATATTAACTTTCATAAACAGTTTATAATAATACAGATTTTATTTTACAATTAAATGAATTCAAAATGCATTGACAGGTACTATACAGAGATCAATAAATTGATTTTTAAAAAAGCAGCAGGATTTTTTAAAAATCTTTTAACCTACATTTCATCCTCGAGCCTTTAATATGCAACAAGCTATATTTCTAATTTTAAAATACTAATGTAATATTAGCACATTAATAGTTATCACTTCAACAATAAAATAGGTTAATGCTTTTATTTAGGTATAATTAAAACACATGCAATATTAAATCAGGTAAATAAGGAAAAAAAAGGCCTTAATTCATAAACCCTTCCTCTACCTCAAAGGAGAGGGGAGCCCCCATCATCACAAAAACAGCCAAACAGGTGGTATAATACAAATTGCAGCCATATCGCATGGGATCTCCATCTATTCCAGGTACAGGCTAAAGAAGCAAGCTACGGAAAGGCAGACATGGTTAATGTAAAACAGCAATTATTACCGAGCTGGCATCACAAGATCAGAGCCCAATACAGACATTTTGTACCTTGGTGCTGGATAGTGTTACTTGAAGCATCAGCCTAATAGCCGGTTTATGCATAAGGCACGCACTAAAATGAAACAAACAGTAATTAAGTGCTGACAGTGACCTAGTTAGCTACACGAGGAGCCAGATCGTCCTGTCATTCAGTACAGGTTCGCCAGAATCCCACGGGCACGGTCCCCTCCGCCCGGGCTGCGCCGCCAACAGCGCCTCCCGCCCGGGCAGCCCCCGCCGGGCCGGGCCGTGCTCCCGCAGCCCCCGGAGCCCTCGGACGGGGGCGAGCTGAGCCCCGCAGCCGGTGCGGGCAGCGCCGAGGCCGCCGCCTGCCTCCTTTTCCCTTCCCTTCCCTTCTCTACCCCTCCCTTCCCCTCCCCTCCCCCGCGCCGCAGCTCCGGGCTGAGGCAGCCGCTGACTCGCTGGCTGCTGGCGTCCCCCCTCTCCTCCCTCCCTGCCCGCCCCCCCCCCCCGCGCACACTTGGTAGAAAAGTCTCCTCTCGGCGGCGGGAGGGCGGTGAAAATCCTCCGCTCTCCTCCCTCCGCGCCGTAACGCGAGCGAAGCCGCCGCCTTCTGTTCCCTCAGCCTCGGCCAAGTCGGCGTTTTGTTGACAGGCTCTGCCGGGCACAAAATGGGGCTGCCGCCGCTTCCATGGGCGCCGCCATTTTGTGAGGAGCCGCCGCCGCCGCGCTGCCTGCAGCCGCAGCCGCAGCCCCGGCTCCAGCCTCAGCCCCAGCCCCAGTCCCAGCCTCGGCCGGCGGCGGCCCCGGGCGCGGCGGGGCGGCGGCGGCGGCGGCCGGGGTCCGTGTAATGGTTGAATAAAGTGACCCCCTCCAGGGAATCCCCAGCTGGCGGTTACGTAAGGGACCGTGCGCAATTGCCGAGCATGGAGACCCACCTCACCTCACCTCGCCTCGTCTGTCCGCCCCGCTCCGCTCTGCTCCGCCACCCACTCACCTCCGCCGCCCGCCCCTCGCCGAGGGGAGACCCCCCGCTCGGGAGGAATTTGGAGGCGAGATTAAAAACCACCGCCCTCTCCCGCGAAGGAAGGTTTAGCTGCGTGTGCCCGAGCGAGCGGCTTAGCCCCCTCAATCGCTTGTTTGTTTTAAGCCTCGCCCGTTCGCGTTATCCCGGCTTTGGGAGCCTGCTGCTGAAATCGCAGGGACGCGAAGTGTCACAGGCAGGGGCTTGCTGCAGCTCTCCTTCAAGCCTGGGGGGCAGGGGGGGCACCCAAGGCTACAGGGGACAGACACTGCTCGCCTTGCATTGAAATTGACGCACCACCAGCCCATCCGCACAGAGAGGGCAATTTTCAATATTTATTGATTTGAAACCGAGGGATCTCTTTTCTACCCCCCCTGTTCCCCCCCCATAAGTGTGACCCAAGGACAAATCTTACCAACCATCTTGCTCTATTTCTGTCTTTTTATATTCAAGCTGAAACAGCATTCAAGTCAAAAAGAAAAACAAAAAATCCTCAAAAAAATGTTTTATTTCCTGAAGTTAGTTAGTACATGGAATAGAAAGGAATTATAGTTCTCCCTTAAGTGCTCACTTGGGGCCATAATGTGCCATTGATTTCAAAACAGAGCTCCTTACTGACTTTAATGAGGAGTTCTGCTTAAAGAAAACTAAAGGCCCAATCTGGCCCTGAATTTCTGTGTGCTGGTTGTGAGGGACCCACGCTCCTTCAGCGCCCCTTGAACTGGGACAGGCGCTCACCTGGAGCTCTGTTTACTTGTAGGGAAAGACAAATGCCTGCCTGGACCCCACCGCTTCAGCTGGGGAGCGGATTTTGGACAGCAGGCACCACTGGCTGCGCAGGCCCCTTCTGCTCCCACCTGCTCCGCAGGTGTGACCGCAGTGCAGGTTCTCCCCTGGGCTCCCAGGCGCTGGATACACGTGATGAGGAAAATATTTACAAATACTGCACGCGCCATATGCAAAGGGGAGAGCGGGCCGCCGCTTTTGGCTACCGCCAGCCCAGGGTGAGGGCCGAGGCCTTTCTCCTTGCATAATTCTACACTTTAAGCGATACACAGAAACATATATGCGGCTTAGATTGAGTAGAGCAGCCCTAAAGCTCTTTGCTTACAGGGCAGAGCGCCTCTGAGAGGGAAAAAAAATATATATATATATTTATGGAGCGAGGCAGAGTTCAGGCCCCTGCTGGCAAACCTCCCCGGGGCAGCCCTGCTGGGGAAGGCTCCTCTTCGGGGAAGTTTGGAGCCCCCTCGGCCCGGAGCGGGGGGCTCCGACCGGCCCTGCCGCACAGCGCCTCCCCGCCCCCACCCCGCGCTGCCCGGGGAGATTTCCTGTCCTTGGGAACACCTCGGGCCGGGGGACTCCACAAAGTTTTTCAAAAGTCAAAATCCGCCAGTGCCCCCTTCCGTTGTTGTTTTTCTCTCTCTCCCCCCCACCCCCCACCCATCCACCCCTTGAACTCGAGGCGCTCGGCGTGAGCCCGATTAAAAAAAAAAAAAAAAAAAAAAAAAAAGGAGGAAAAAAAAAAAAAAAACACCACGGCCCCGCTCCGCTCTGCGAGCCCACCTCTGCTGCCCTCCCCCCGGAGCAGCGAGCGGGGAGCGGCCGCCGTGGCGAGCCCGGCGCGGAGGGCGCGTTTCCCCGGCCCCCGGCCCTGCAACAACCGGTAGTAGCCGTTTTTTTCCTCCCCTCTTCTCCCTCTCCCTCGCCTCTTTCCGCCCGGCTTTGTGTGAAGTTTGCGGCACATTGCAGATGAGCCCTTAGCGGCGAGAGGAGCCTATTGTTCCCCGCCAGGAACTGCTTGCTGGGGCTGCGCTGGCTTTTGCCTTCGGAGCTGCCTCGTGCAGTACCGGGAGCGGCCTGCGGGGCCCGCTGTGTTGCGCTCTCGTCCAGGCAGAAGCACGGCGGCCTCAGATCTTTTTGTCTGAGAGAGAAGAGAAGTGAATCCTGCTGCCGCCGCCACCGCCGCCGCCGCCGTAGCTGTACAGTGTGTGTGTGCGAGAGAGCGAGCGAGGGAGCGAGCGAGGGAGAGGGAGATCGCATGGAGCCGCGGCTGTAACACACACACACTGTCAATACCTCACTCCGGCTCCCCCCCCACCCCACCACAACAGTAACCCAATTCATTGTGTGATCCAGCAGCACCATGTTGAGTCTCATGTGCAGGCTGGATCGGTTGGGTTCGTGGTGCTGAGAGAGGCAGCAGCAGCGGGAGGAGGAATTACTGAGAGGTGCCCCTCTCCCTCCCTGTCTCTTTGCCTGTGTGTTGTGTGGAGACAGGACTCGCAATTACCACACTCTCTGGGCTCCCTTATTCCTTTTAAACTTTTTTTTAAACAAGCCCCTCTCCATGGCTGATCCCCGGCCGAGCACGGGCACCTGGGTCTCTTAAAGACAAGGAGGAGCCGGGGATTGTTGTTGTTGTTGTCGGCCGTTTTTTTTTTTAAATTGGATTTTTTTTTTAAGAGGACCTTTTTTATTACAAAAATGGCAAATTCGACGGGTAAAAACCACGCAGACCAGCGGAGAAAGGGACTCGCTTTCCTGGACGAGCTGCGGCAGTTTCACCACAGCAGAGGGTGAGGAAAATGGGGAGATGGAACGGGAGGGGGGGAGGCTTTTAAACCGACCAGATCCAACTTCCAGCCCCTTCCCTGAAGGACACGGCAGCCCCAGCGAGGGGAGAAAAGGGGGCAGAGCTGACAAGTTGTGGTGTTTTGTGTGTATCTCCTTTGGCAGGTCTCCTTTTAAGAAGATCCCTGTGGTGGGTGGGAAGGAGCTGGATCTTCACGCTCTCTACACCAGAGTCACCACTTTAGGCGGATTTGGGAAGGTGAGTGGAAGTTTTAATTTGGCTTTCCCTCCCGCTAACCTCTTCCCAAAAGTCTCCTCTGACCCCCGGGGGCGGCGGGGGGAGCCGGGGTGGCCGGGAACCGTCCTATTTAAAGCCGGTTAGAGAAGGTGGGGGGTGGAAGAAGGAAGCAAGCAGGCAGGCAGGTTGGTGCCTTGGCCTTGTCGGCGGAGCGATGGAGGGGGATCCGGGGGTCCGGCGGAGCCCCTGGCCGGCCCCCCCCCCGCCCCCGGCCGGGCCCCGGCCCCCTGCCCCCCGTCGCCGGGGGAAGGCGAGGGGGGAGCGGGGCGTTCGGGGCCGTGAGGGGCAGTTTGTGTCGCCTGTGGTCGCAGCTTGTGTGTGCGCCTCTGAGAGGGAGAGACGGAGAGAGGAGAGAGTCTGAGCGCAGTTTTAGTGCAACTCAAAATTAGCGGGCATGTTTAACATCGATAATCGGCACGGAGCATGGGCTAGGGAACGAGCCTCGCGGCCGGGGGGGGGCCAGGCGCTGCCCTCCGAGCCCTTCCCGGGGAAAAATAACAAAAGGGGCACCCAAGACGGTGTGTAATCAAATAGCCATCTTTAGGCTTCAAGGCTAGGGACAGAAATGTAGGCCTCAAAAGAAAGGCCTCTCTGTGGCTGGGGAGCTGCCGCGGGGGGACCCATCGGGAGGGCTCCCCCGCTCCCCCGCACCCCGCAGCCCAGGGGGCGCCCCCTCCCCGCCTCGCCTGCCTTTATTTTAAACTTCTTTGGGTTTTTAACGGACCGCGGTAGGATTTAAAAGGGGGCGACAGAGGGACTCCCGATTGGTTATTGTCCAGGCAGTAAAAACAACAACAAACAAACCCCAAAACGCTGCGGGCCCTCCCGGCCGTGCCCCCCGAAAGGAGGCAAAACACAACCAGCCGGGAAGATGTCGGCGAGGAGCGGGATTGTTCCCGAAGGGGGAATATTAGCGGCTGTCAGTAACAAATGCAGTCCCAAACCCCATAGACATTCCTCTTTATTATTAGTACTATTTTCTCCATATATTTATCTATTTGCTTCGTGGCAGCTCGTAGGGATTTTTTTTTTTTTTTTTTTTTTTTTTGCGATGTTTGCTGTCGACGAGGTGTTTGTGTGTACGTTGTGTATCTCGGCCCCTGTGTGTTGTTTTTGACAGGTATCTGAGAAGAATCAGTGGGGAGAAATTGTAGAGGAGTTTAACTTTCCCAGAAGTTGTTCTAACGCTGCCTTCGCTTTAAAACAGTATTACTTGCGGTGAGTGCTATCAAGCTGTTGCAGTAGTATTTTTGAGTGTGGGATTATATTGGGTTGTCGGTGTGTGCAATAATAAAAATACCCCTACTCTTAAAAAAAAAAAAAAAGCTACAAAATAAACCAGAAAGGACTTCTAATTCCTTATTTGTCTGCTGCAGTGATCACTTAAAGGTAATTATGTTCTGCAGTTATTTTATTTGTATTTTACAGATGCAAGCCTTAAACTTTCAGGGGATCCTAAGTATATAAACAATCCATGTCAGAGCCATTTTAATTGATTATTTTAGAACGGTGGTACTAAAGGACAGTTACTAAGAGATCCTGGTATTGTAGTTACAGAAACTTAGTTTAATTTTTGAAGCACTGAAATGTGTTCCTATATGTAAACTTGTTTACTGTTCAGTGGGGTCAGACATTGAAGGAAAATGCATCTGTAGGAAGATATCCAAAGCAGTCTAATTTATACTGTTATCAATTACCAGCAGCATACATTATGTTTTATTTTAGAGTACAAAGATAAATATTTTTTTTTCCTGTTACTTGAAAAATAGTAGATTTTTGCAGCTTTTAAAAATAAGTTTATATTCCTTGAAGTCATGCAGATTATTTTTTAAGATGCAGATTTTTTTTTTTTAATGTAGCATGGAGGTTTACACTGAATATTTTAAATTACTGTATGTGGTGCTGTTCTGTTATTAAATGATTTTTAAAAAGAAATTAATTTTGATTAACTTAGTGTTTTTTTTATGTGAAAGATTTTACAGCTATTGCATGCATAGTGTTTCTAGATGCTATATAGTGATGATTATATTTAATTTAGAATCAAGTTTAATGTACATTGGTTAAGGAATGTAATGTTATGTTTCTGAACTGTATAGATGATATTTTTTCATTGCAGTTAATGCTAAGATAGATGTGCAATGTGTACAAAAGATGTATGGGCTTTTGGACTTCTGTTTTGGTGATCTGAGTACACACAAGCTTTATCTGTCTCTAGTTTGGCCTTCTGAATTAGGAAATGCAGTAATTGTACAGGTGCACTTTCTATTGGTTGTCCTAGATTGACTTCCAGCTTGAAGCTGTAGAGTTCAGAGCACAGTAGAGCAGTTATTGAGTTACAATGATGTCTGGAAAACCTTAGTCAGATATCTGTAGTTACTGAATTTTTCTTTTTTTGGTGATGACATATGATTGCTTTAAGATCCAGACTAAGGAAAGAAATTGCCATAGTTAATAGCTTTAGCAAAGTTTATGATTGCTAGTAGGCCTAGGAATGAAGTGGGAAGCTCACTTCAGGATGTCTTTTGCTGTTTATTTTCTCTCTCTAATACATAGTATTCTGGTCGTGTTGCTAAACATTTGTTGGATCACAGAAAATAGTTTTTGCTTTTTGACTTCTTCTGGTGGACCATGTAGTCTATTACCTGACTAGATTTCACATTTATTTTGCAAAATTATTATTATTTTTTTTAATTTCTGTATTTTAGAAGGGCTTGAAAGCCTAACTTATTGCACTGTGACGTAAGGCGGTATGTCATTTGTGTTTTCATATGTATTTTGGAAGCATTTATATGCCATGACAGTTAAGGTAATTAATGATAATTTAGCCTTCTAATGGCTATTAATTTTTAACAAGATACTACTTTATAATTTAGAATCAAACATCCAAAAATGTTATTTTTATTTTTACCATGCTGATACTGACATTATTTTACATACAGTTGCTGAAAATGTGTCTGAATGATTAGATACAAATAATTGAAAGTGTTTTTTTTGTTATTTATTTGCAATTTAGGGAAAAAAAAGTTGATAAACAGTTAAGATGAAGAATCTTTTAAAATGTTTGATTTATCATAATCTCTATCATTTACGTAGGCCATTCTGAAATAAACTGTCAAGGTGGTTGTTTGGGGGGTGGTTTGTTTTTGTTTTTTGAATTACTGCTTTACTCGCTGTTGCTTCTAACACAATCTAAGTTTGAAGTGAAGTGTTTTCCAGCTGAGTTCACCACCCTACATGTGCAGTAATATGACTGTATATACACACATATCTCTAGATTCGTGATCATTTAGCTTTAACATTGAAGGGTTTGGGGGGAATTTGGTTATATGGAAAGAAAAGTACTCTCATGCTAAATTTGTAAAAACTGTTTTATGTTATCAGTGTTGAAGAACATAACCTGAGGTTTCTTATAGGGCTAGGTTTTCATGAGCTGTTCAGCAATTCCCCATGGAAAAAAAATGTTCCTTTTTAGTCTCAAGTATGACTGGAGTCTTGGCCCCACTATTGTAATGACTTCGCAAACAAAGCCAAACAAATTGAGGCCTGTTAATTTTAATATACATTTTTATCAAATTGTA